TGACAAAGTCTGTTCGGAGAGACCAACTTGGCAAGCGAGCAGGTTGTCCAGGACGTATGGCAGGAATATGAAGAAGGTTCAGGGGATAATCTCGAAGGAAAACACGAGCTTCTCCCATATCAAGACTGAGGCTTGTAGGAATGAGCAAGCCATACTTCATGTCGTATGGCATGCCTTTGCCAATTTCATGGAGAAATTTGGGGAGGTCCGTCTCCGGGAAAGAAGGTTTGTCAATGATAAGATGGATGTCGCTGATGATCAAGGTCATTAGACCAGGGCGGTTTGGAATGCCAAGGATCGTCTCGGTCTCATGGTCGTCGTGAGGAGGCTCGTCTGCACCCATGAACAGCTGTCGCACACTTTTTACGGTGTTGTTCTGAAGACGAAGCATCCAGTCGATCCGTCTTTTCCAGCTCCGGGAATTGTGCTCCTGAAGTTTGTCCCATGCCTCCCTCGCATCTATCTTGGCATGAGTGGTCAATGCACAAACCCCCTCGCGATCGTACCGGAATCGATGTGATGCTCTGCCACGCCTTCCCCTGGAGGTAGATCGTTTCCGTGGAGTATCATCGACACTTCGGGAACGTCGATGATGATGATCGTCGCCTGCAGCATTGGGGGAGCCACGGCGACTCGAATGAGCTGATTGCGTTCGTAACCGGGATGATGATCGAGGCCGCCTCTCGTCAGTCATTCGCTTGACCTTCAGGCGGAAGGCATCTTCCCGAGCAAGGCGTTGCTTTTGCTCTATACGCCCAACGTGATAGATCAGACCGAGCTTCCATTCGAACGGGTCGTCTTCCAACTCGAAGCAAAGGGCTTTGGACCGAACCGAGATTCGAGGAACCTTGGCTGGAGGTACGGGGTGCTTCGCCAGCACATATTCGTTAGACCGTGTCTGGAACCGGTGTTGCAGCTGTTGGATGGCCTTCGTGGTGTTGATGAAGTTGTCAAAGACTCTGTACATTTGCAACCCATGCGGCACTCCTAGACGAATAAAGTCAGTCGAGACGTCAATGGTTTTTTCTTCGATCATGCCGTGCTGCGTCTTCTTCTTGCTGTGGCGTAAGTCGACCCTAACATTGCTAATGCTAACAATACGTGCCCATATCCGTTTGAGGTGCGGCGCTTCCGCATGTAAACGGACCAAGTCGGCTTTCATGAAAGGAGCGGACCATCTGTGTCTGCCGCCCGAGACTTGGTAAATCTGGAGCATCATTGGAGGATCATGTGGCATATCGGCTTTGACTTGCACGTAGTGCGCCTTCACGTCGATGGCAAAAAGTTCTGCGTCCAAAGGTACTGGCAGATGCCCATGGACAGTGTGGTGATCTGCTGTTTTCGGATGATGTTCTGGGTCTCGTTTGATCGGGACTGGTCCCACAAATGCCTCTTTCACGACAAAGCCTGCTACACCTATCGAGTAGAATCTGTAAAGCGAGAAGTCCAAGTAAAACGCACGAATGGAGGAGTGGATGTGGAACATTGGTCCTTGCTGATCCCTCGATGTGCTGAAAGCAGTTTCAAATCTTGGAATGGACATGAATGGCGTCGGTTCCCACCTATCGAGAGACTCAATGATGAAGCCGTCGAAACCCTTGACGTGGCATGCGAGTCGTCTTCCATCCGTAGGATCACTGGGATGATGCTTCTGATGTGAGGTGGACGGCGACACGCCTTTGCCCGACGAAAATGTTTCGTCGTAGCGGACTGAGGTGCTGACTTTCCGTCCTTTTGTTTTTCGTCCTGACTCTGACTTTGCAGATGTGTAATGGGCTGACCAGGACTCAAGCTCAAAGGCGGCACCTCGTGTTTGGCCGGAGACGCTGGGGTCGATACCTGCAACCTCAAGGCTACAACCAGAACCTTCAAAGCTTGCCTCAATGAGCCACGCAGGGAGTTTCCGTAGGAAGGCAGCCGAAGGAGACTTTGGAACCACCGCTGCCTCGTCGGGAGAACGGTGCTTAAAGTGCCTCACTATGTTATAGATTGCTTTGCTTACTTCTTCTCGCACCATGAGGATGGAAAAAGTGCGCAAACTTCCCTGGAGGGTGACAGAAACAGTTGTCGATGCGGTGAGTTGAACTTTGAGTTCCAAGGCTTCATTCAGGATCAAGTTGTGTGTTGTGCCAGTAGAAGCTTGATAATATAGTCTGTGTGACAAAACGCGGAAGCTCGACCCAAGAGAGTACAGCAACTCTCCTCCAGCCGAGTGAGAGGATTCGACGTCCAGGGAGATGGAAGAGATGGAGGAGATGATCATGTCGTACTCGCCTGGACCAGCGTGAGCAGGATTTGCGACGGGTAACACAAATCTGAGTACGGGTTCGTGGATTGAGAACTTGATGCTCGCTTTGGGAAGCAATCTTGAGATGAGACGGTGATGATCTCGAGACGATGCTCGGGCTCGAGACTCACGGGTTCCCTGAGAGAGGGCCAACAGTTTTATTAGGTGCTGTGGTGCCAAATCGAGCGATGGTGAAGTGACGACAAGGTTGGCGAACAGGATATTTGTGTTTCTTTCGGCGACGCCCCGGTCTTGTGAGAAACTCATAGTCTTGGCCGGCAGAGTCGTCCTGATGGTGATTGTGGCCATAGGTATGTACATGATCCTGTTCGGGCGAGAATCGTCCTCATCTAGGCTCACAGAAATCGACAGAGCAGCAAGCAAGGCTTGGTGAGCAGTGTCTTCCCTCTGGAAGTACATACGATGGGCAGGCGAGTTTTGCTCCAGCCTATGCAGGTCGATGCCAATTTCGTGAATGACAACGTTGGCGACCAAGGGAAGATTGGCTTGCCTGAGGGACACAATTTCTTTCGAAATGCGCACAAAGCTCAAGCCTACCTGGATTTCCTGGACACTCTGAAGGACAGACCGCAGGAACTCTTTAGAGTCCGCCACGGTTTGGACTATAGCTGCCTCACGACTCCCGGGGTTGCCCAATTCTTCAGCCAGATCCTCAAAGGAAATCTCATCAATCGGACTCAGGACATCGTACTGTTCATCGGGTCTTGCCGCTTTTCTACCCTTGCGGGAGAAGTGGATGAGCTCATCGACGGGTACGTAGACACGCCCACCTTTGATCGCGATTGAGGTGTCCCTGAGGCCATCACGGTCCTTGTAAAGCAGGCCATGCACGTTGATTGCCAGCGCGTCGAGTATTTCGATGGGGTCACGGCCGCCAACGCCCATCTGGACGCTTTTGACCGTGAAAACCCATTCCGCCGGTTTCTGATCTCCCAAAGGATCCTTCTTGTGTCGGAAGAGTCGTCCACGATCAAGGAGTTTCCGTCTAGTGTAAACAGCCGCTGTTAGGGTGGAAACTTGCACATAGCCCACGCCAACAATTTCCGCAGAAGTGTTATAGGCACTGACATCGAACATCCGTAACAGGTGGATTTTGCGGTGCAGGCGTTTGACCTGTTCTTTGATGTTGGTCAGCCTCTTCCAAAGCTGGCTTTTTCCACCAGCATGACGTCCACCTTGCCGCCGTGAATCTGCGTCTTCATCCGATTTCCCCTTGACCTTGTCCTGCGAGTCTGTTTTGGTAGAGTTGTTTTCTAGGGCAGTCGGATCGACGGTGATCTTCAGTTCTTCGAACACAATACTGATCCATGTCGGCTGCGCGAAGGTAGGTCTGCGCAAACTCAGTCCTACACCTCGCAAATCTATTCTCAGTCCCTCTCTTGGAGCGTAGGATATGTGTCTCAGACTGAAGTAGCCAATGCGCTGAATTGATATGCCAGTCGCGATGCGCAGAATCGCAAGTAGGATGAAGGAGGATAGGTAGAGGAGCAGGAGGACGGCGGCGACCGACGTGCCATTGACGAGAGGCATTTCGATATTTCGGCACTATCTGCCAATGTTCCAACACCGACCGGAAAGACGCAACAGAGGTCAGGTGTGTGGTCGCAGGGGTCACCTCAATTCGTGGGTATGATCGCTATCGTCGAGACTGCAGTCTCTCTGAAGCCACATAGTTGGTTGTGCGTTTCCCATCACTCTCTGGATTACCCTTCGGGTCGAAGCAAATAGGTATGGGTACAAGAGCAGCGTGTGGATACTAAATCCAAGTCGAGGCCTTTGGATGCGGTCTTTGAGGCCTATGGAGCGGACTTCAGTGCTGAGATGGTAGTGAAGTACAGGCGCAATTGCTGTAGAGGTGGGAGGCGATTGAGCCCTCTGGCGCACTTCAATTCAACAGAATCAAGTCATGCGATAGGGAGAGAGAAAGTTGCCGGCGCGGCCGGGCAATATCAATCAAAGCTCATGGTGGAGCAAGGAAGTATGGAATGTCGCGAGGGTGCGGGCCAGAGAATACGAGGGAATCCGTTAAGAAGGCGAACAGGTGGAGGATTGGATTTTGGGGGGGTGGAGTGGGCACGCCGCTCTGGGATGAAACTCTGCGGCACATCAGTGATAATTAATATGCAGCCCAAAACAGCTATCCATTGGTGACTCAGCCTATGTCAAGGATGAGAAGGAGCAGCCTAGAACGATTAAGCTCCTGGTCCCCCGATAAAGATTGTGCATATTATCCGTTTCCAGAGATCTTTGACCCCGGCATCTGGACGCGCTAATACTATAGGTCGGACTCAGCCCGTCTTCCTACCACAGTTCTATCTGCACCCCCCAAACGTTCGTCAACTGCTCATTGTGTCTGTCTCCGTGTCATGACCATATTTGGAGTAGGGCTCGCGGGACACTGCTCTTGCGTCGGTGGACACTATCAGGGCTAAATACCCCGACTTATGGTCTAGGTAATTGTTGCATCCGCTGCCTTCTGGTGTCCTACCACGGCGCAGTTGGTGATCTGGTGGACACGACCAGTCTGCACAAGTTCCCATTTCCTAATCTGCAGTGAATGTTGGTCTTTGAGATGCATGTTACCTGTAGCCATCGGCCTGATAAGCACCGCTGTGGTCTTTTTCGGCCAGACTTTCGGTAGCATGTTCGTCAACGCGATACCGTACAAGCTCTGATCACGCCAAGATAGCTCTCAGGTTGGACGGCTTTTAGGCTCCTGGTACTGAAGCTGGACATCTTTGTCCTTTGCAGCCCTTAGGGTTGCGATCTTATCGTCCAATACAGCAATTTCCGCTTCGACTCTCAGAAGTTTCTCTGAAAGCAAGTCCTCATACTCTTTGTCGGACAGAGATTTCATGGGAGAAAAAGCAGCGAAGCCGTTCCTTAGACGTGATGAGAGCTGGGTAATAGATGTAGTGCCATGCGTGGTATTCAATCCTGCTTGAGTCAGAGCTCCGATCACTCCGAACATGATGCCACCGGTCAAGAGGCTTCCTCGAGGCACTAGCTGTTGTCAAAACGTGTTCATTCTGCTTTATTCCCGCCACTCACAGAAGTTTGCAAATACTACTCCTGAACATGAGCCTGCAATGCTACTTGCGGCGATCTTGTGCAGATCATTATCCCGGTTCAAAGCACCTGCCAGCAACAAACTCCGGCAATCTGGCAAGACGTGAGCTGATGCAATTTCAAGATTTGGGCTGACACAGACAGAAAAAGGTGGTGCCAGCACAGAACCATTGTGTTGCAGAAAATGCGGTATAGGCCAGTGGATTCGTAGTCTGGATGAGAGTGCCCGCGACGCCGCCGTATGCCGCACCACAAGCTCCTGGTTACCATAGTCAACACATCAGATTGCTGATTGTTCTTTAGATAGTATCGTGTCCCACCTGTCGCGGCTCCGACGTAGAGGGCCGGCACAAATGGCGTCCAGAAGATATCTTTCCCAGCTTTAGGATTTTCCTTGGACATGGCGCATTATATAGCTGTTGGAGCTCCTCACAAGACAAAAGCAAGACAAAAGGAATGGCACCGGCGCCTATCGAGTCCCAGTGAACGGGAACAGATGCGCCTTTGAGGTCAGAGGTGCAGGATCGCGCCAAGCCCCCAATTTGGCATGGCAGATCTAAACCCAAAATGGCATTGAGCGGGTCAAGGAAAGAAATGGCCGGACAAACCTGCCCTGCAGAGTCTCTCCTACCGCCCGCAAATCTTTCAAGGCTTTCGTACACATCCTCTGCGCCGACATCCACGAGGCGCTGCACTTCGTCTCCTATCAAACACCATCAATTCCAGGCTACTGTCTAGTTGGAGTGCGTTCAACGACGTACTTGGACTGTGACATTCGACTCGCATTTTCGAATCCAGCAGGGGACGTACATATTTAGTGCGCCTGCCGATATTTTGCAATCATGGGTATGAGCACATGGTGACAGGGCGACATTTGGCGCACAGCCTGCGCACCTGGTCGTTTCGTCAATCTCACTCGCTAACTTGTTATAGCTCCCAAAAAGAACCAAAAAATGTCCCTCGGGACCTTCTTGCAGGACGAGAGTGCGTCCCACTCGTGGTTGGTTGCAGCCGACATCAGTCGCTAACTGTTGGTAGACTATGGTTCTTGGGCCGATGAGATGGAGGACATGCCCCTGCCAAGTAAGCTCAGCGTGTACGAGATGAAAACACAGATGGACAGGGGATGCTGACTGCGTTTGTTTGACAACAGCCTCCGACACACGACCAAGCTATGGGTCTGAACGAAGAGCGTTTAGCACAACTACTGGCATGGGCAACGGCTATCCAGGTCAGTTGTCGCGTGTCGTATCATTACCGAACAGGACAGAATGCTGACTGTAGACTACCGCCACCCACAGACCGACGAGATACATACCCTGCACGAGAACAACTCCCTCTCCCCACGCAACCCCCTTACACTGCGCATCTCGCAAACCTGTCCTTCGATGCCACGCAAGGAGATGTAAATGATTTCTTTAGAGACTGCCAGGTCACAAACGTCCGCATTGTGGAAGACAAACAAGATCGCAAACCCAAGGGCTTCGGTTATGTCGAATTTGCAACTCTGGATGGTCTTAAGGCTGCATTGGCTCTCAGTGGCAACAACTTGGCAGGTCGTCAGGTCCGTGTTAGCGTCGCCGAACCGCGTGAGTTGTCATTTTGTCCTTTATGAAACTGGGACTGACTGTCTGGCTAGCAAAAGAAAGGCATGAGACCCGCGATTTCAGCGATTGGTCAAGAAAAGGCCCTCTTCCAGAACTGCCGAATCAACGCAGGGTTTCCGACAGGCCAGGAGGTTACGGCGGCCGTAGCTTTGACAACATGTCCGACGCCGGAAGTGAGAGGGGCCACGGGAACGAACGTGGTGCCCGGCGTGGGTTCGGGGACGGAGATGGCAAGGTTCGGGACTTCTCAAACTGGGAAAGAAAAGGTCCATTGTCACCGGTCACACCTGGCCCCACGAGTTTAAGGGAGGGCGGGAGACAGGGAAGCAAGGAAGGCTACGGCTTCCGCAAGAATTCACCGTCCTGGGGCGATGCAAGATCACAGGACGGGTCTCGGCCTCCACGACGTGAATACGCCGAACGACCTCCTCCCGAGAGACAGCCGACCGCACCGGAACTTGACAATCAATGGCGCGCTCGCATGAAACCTGATTCTACCAAAGTCCCGACTCCCGAAGCCAGCGAGCCCTCTTCTCCTGCCGCGCCGCCGGCTCCAGCAACCAGACCGAAATTGAATCTGCAGAAGAGAACTGTTTCCGAGACGGACCCCGTGGCATCTCCTGCTGCGATTTCGGATGTTAAATCCAGCCCGTTTGGAGCAGCTCGTCCAGTTGATACGGCATCTAAAGAGAAGGAAGTCGAAGAAAAGCGCCAGCTTGCTCTTCGACAGAAAAGGGAGGCGGAGGAAAAAGCAAAGGCTGACAAGGCCGAGGAAAAGAAATTGGCAAAGGAGAAAGCTGAGGTGGACAAGGAGCGGGTCAAGGAAACGCCTAGCAAAGAGACCAAGGAGCCCAAGGAACCCAAGGAGTCTGGTGCTGCCAAAGAAAATGGCGAGGACACTGCCCAATCTACGCCGAAATTTGATATTCTGCGTCGTGCTGACTCGGGCATGAACGATATGGTTGCGGATGACGAAAATGACGAGGAGGGGGAAGAACGGCCTCAGCCGACAGACGACAAAGCAGTCAAACCTAAGGAAATCGTGCAGACCCCAACGTCGGCGAAGGCCAATGGTTCTTGGAGAAATGCACCGTCCGCCCAACCCCAACCCCCGGCTGCCAGCACTGCTACAGAACTGGAAGAGGACGGCTGGAGCACAGTGTCCAAGCCCCAAAAACAACGCAACCAGCGACGATACGGCCCGTCGAGAGGAGCGGCGTCCTGATATAATATCAGAGTTGCCACTCCAGGGCCGTGCGAACTATCATGCAGCACATGCTGTAGCTGAAGTTTGTCGTGCGGTCTTTTGTACATCTACTCGCCTCTCACCATATCTGGCCGACCTGCAGTTTTCAAAGTACAGTCGGTGTGGGAAGGCAGATCTCGGCAATTTTGGCTATTCTCCAGTGTTCGCACCTGTTCCCAAAAATTCAAGGGATCGGGAGTCTGCTTGCTTTGTCCAGCATGGAGGAGTTTGGGCAGGAGGGAAGTCTGGAACTGTAGCCAGAGAAAGTCTGATAAGGATGGGATCGCGGCTCCGGAAAAAAAAATGATTTGGAGAGACAGTCTCTCGACTCGCACTCGTGTCTTCACTCAAGGCTGGCCAAATACGACAGACCACATCGCCTTTTAGATGGCTCATAGAACAAGTATTGCTTTCAGGGTGTGTGCTCGTCATCTGTCCTCTCTGCCCCCAGCATGCACGTGTCACGGCGCCTACCTTGAATGGCACTGTTAGTCAGAAGAGGCCCCCAGTCCAAATGCTTCATCTGCAATTCGACTCCTAAATTGTCATCGCCGCTGGTGAGTCGCCTACCCAGTGCCCGCCTAGGTAGATACCATTTGCCTCGTTGGGTGCGTGGCTCGGTGGGTACTCAAGTGCTCTAGATAGATCGAATCACGTGCTATCACCAAGATCAGGAAAGTGAGACGAGGTGCAATCTGGACCAATCAGTGGGAAACAAAAGATATGCCAAGGCCACAGCCAAAAAGTGTAGTCACTGGATCTCGAACATGTGAGTGAAAAAAACAGTGACCAAAGCAAACAATCTTGGTCTCTAGCGACCAGAATCTCTGCCAACCCTTCACGCAGTCATGGGATGGGGTACAGACGATGGCGAAGGGCCTGGACGACTTGATCGAGTTTCTGCTCGAGGAGATTGCCGTCAGTGGAAGTCGAGGTCAGTTTGATTTTCGCGACTCAATTTCCCCCTCCAAACCTGCATGATCCGAGGTTCCCAGTGGCGATGGGTTCCAGCTTCACTTTCAACCACTGGATCCGCCCCACATCTATTCATCAACGAATGCTAACTCAAGTCTACGCGTAGGTGTTACTATCAGTGATGTTGCTCACTTCATCTCTTCATTCTACAACGACCTGGAAGATAACTCACGACCCAATGCCCCCGTTGAGCACATTGAACCAAGCCCTCCGGTTACAGTTGATCTCCCCCTACTTTCCAAGATCTGGTGCTGGTTAGGTCGGCATCCTGATGTCTCTATCGGTGAAGATAGAAGGTACAACAAGACATCGTTGACGGAGATCGAGATTCAATTTCCGAACTACGTCGACCTTGGTCCCAATGGCAGACAAATACCCGCTGAGGACGGTGCCGACTCGGACGGGTCAAAGCAACCCGACACAACACCAACGAAGCAACCAAGACTTCAGAAACCCCGTGCTACTAAGGGCCCACGGATCTCTGTTAGCGAGACGCGGATCTGGCAAGCGATATGCGGTCATCCGCCAGACCTCAGCAAGGTTGTACCTCTTGAGTTCGAACTCTTGTCTCATATTGCGGCAGCAAGGTCAACTGGAATTCTACAAGGAGACCTTGTGAGAGCATCTGGCCAGGACAAACGCTCTGTACCTAAGCGGACGGACTCCCTCCAAAGCAAAGGCTACATCACAAAGGAAATCGTTTTTCGCCACGGTACTCGGACAAGTCGACTGACGCTGAGAAAGTTCGCCCGACAAAATGCAGTAGACGCTGAGCCGTTCCATAAGCTCCATAGCCTCCCACAACGTGGTTCAACTTTGCGAGACGTCGTCCGCAGAATTTTTGATGTGTTGGAAGACCGCAAGCTTATATCTCAAACAAGTCTAGCAGAAGAACTGAGCCTGGGGTCTTCGGGGGAGTCCGCCATCCTTTCCAAGATCATCCGTCGGCTCGAGAAGCTGAAGTGTATCAAGAGAGTCCGAACTGCTGTCGGACCTTCTGCAACCTCTGATGACCTACGACATTTCGTTCAACTGGTACGTCGTGCCGGCGCAGTGGACCTGGATAATTTCGACACAGAGACGTTGTCTTTGAGCCAGACAGTTGAGGAGTTGGCATCCACTGAAGACCGCAAAGATCGCAACAATGGTCCCCTCGAAATTCCAGCCGCCGAGGAGGAAGATGACGAGTCCGACGAAGCTGTTTATAAACCTGCCAGGTGGAACCCTGACCGCTTGATGCCTAATGTTATGGTTGATGCCGTACGACTTGCGGGTCAAGAGGGTCTGACGAATCTGGTAAGTCCTTGTAATTCCCCAAGTCTGCCACAATACTAACAGTGAAAAGAATGCACGTAAAATGATTACTGGCGACTTTGTGCGCCGTCAACTAGAGTCTCTGTTACTCCGACTTTCATGCGAATCACTCATCATGCAGCCGCAACATTTGTGCCACTTGGCCATCGTCCGGACCACCGTGAGACAGGAAGGGGTCACCCAGTATGTCCATTACTCGTGGGATACCTTTCTACAGAAGGCTACAGACCACCATCTCGACGTTTCTGATATCCCAGGTG